GGACTCACATCCACCGGAGACGCCACTTCAACGAACTGGAGGCCAGCGTGGTGGTGCAAGACATAGCCAGCGCCCTTAACTTCCTGCACAACAAAGGTGGGCGCGAAGGCCGGCGTTTGCCTGGGGGTGGGGTGGGATTTTTATTCCCGCGGGGGCCGGAGAGCCACAATCCTATGGGATCACGTCCAGGGCCGCGTTGGGAGCCCGTGGGGTGGCGCTAAGGGGGTGGGGCTCAGGGTAGCCCGGCCCCCAGGTTCCTGGGTGCTCCATGCCCCGGGCAGACATGGTGGCGGGCTGTGCTGGCCTGCCAGAGCATGCTGGAGGCCCAAGCACCTCTGTTGCCTTGGTGCTTCCCAGGCTGCCCCGTGGCAGGGTGCCTTGGGCCGGCCGCTGCGGGAGCCAGCTCCCCTCGGCCCCGGGTCTCCCCAGCCGGCGAGCCCCTGGCTGCCGAAGACTCCAGCAGGCTCGGTGCCGTCTCAGGCAGACGACAGCCCCGTTGACTCTGGGTTTCTTGTTAACCAGGGATTGCACACAGGGATTTAAAGCCAGAAAACATTCTCTGCGAGAGTCCCGCCCAGGTGAGTACGTCAGGGTCTCGTTCCCTGGCTTAGCAGGAGCAGGCACGGCCTTGGGGAAGTGATCTCCTCCCAGCAGGTGGGGTCGGCCTTTTGCTGGAGGGGGTCCAGGCTTTGCTAGCGGGGTGGGCGCTGGCAGGAAGGGGGTGGCGAGGGGGCAGCGGGCGTGGTGGCAGTGATAGTCATAGTCACCCTTTGCACGCAGGGTGTTGAAAGGCCACCCCCCTCCCCCCCGCCCTCGGGAGGGCATGTCAGCTAAGAGCAGCATTTTGCTAATGGGAACCTCTTGTGTGTTGTGCCAGGGCGGAGGGCCAGGGCCAGATTTCAGTTGGCTGGCGATACCCGGGGTTGATGCATGTGGGCCCCGGACACTTCTCGCGGGTGGGGATTTCCAGGCCCCCTCTGGCCTCGAATCGTGAACTTCCTGGGCGTGTGGAAGTTTGACTAAGGGGTCGACTCCTGGCTCTTCTGCCCTGCCCTAGGTTTCCCCTGTGAAGATCTGTGACTTCGACCTGGGAAGTGGAATCAAACTCAATGGCGATTGTTCCCCGATCTCCACCCCCGAGCTGCTCACCCCCGTGAGTATTTCTGCCCCTGGTTCCGGGGGGAGGGGGCTTCGTTGGCACATGGGGCTGTCTGGGGGACTAAGGGGTCGACTCCTGGCTCTTCTGCCCTGCCCTAGGTTTCCCCTGTGAAGATCTGTGACTTCGACCTGGGAAGTGGAATCAAACTCAATGGCGATTGTTCCCCGATCTCCACCCCCGAGCTGCTCACCCCCGTGAGTATTTCTGCCCCTGGTTCCGGGGGGAGGGGGCTTCGTTGGCACATGGGGCTGTCTGGGGAGATGACCCGTACGGACGCGGGGCCGGATTTCTGTCCAGAGGCAGCCCCTTGGGCTCTCGACTCGCCTTGACGCACCCACTGGACACCCGCCCGGGGCAGCCCCGAGCTCTTTGCGGGG